ATTCCTAAGCGACCCAATGCTAAGACCTTTGTGTTTATTCCAACTTGAAAATATGAACAAATAGTAAATTGATTCAACCAATCTTTCCAGGAAATCAAGATCCTGAAGTTGTACCCTGTCACCATTCCCAGGTGAGAAAGCTGCCTATAGGGACAGATTAATCTTAGTAAACCTCTTAAAATATGATACCAAAACTAAAGCCACTGCCATTAACATGAAAGGAACCTTTCAACGGGGTGTTCCTTTAAAAGTCTAGTGTGGGCAGCATTATAACTTCCATCTCAACACAGTTTCTTTCACAAGTAAGGGCTCAAATGTTTGATCAATCCCACAGCTATGCAGATTAATTATAAATACACTTAAACTTGCTAATATGTTAGTTGTGTCTGGCTGTATGGTGGTGGTCTCAATCTAATCATTTTTACTCCTAAACATGGCTTCCCTCTCCTTAACAGAACGTTTTTACCATCTCTCCTCATTAGAAAATCAAGTGTTTACCTCAAAGTTATTTGGAGAGACAATTATAGGACAGCTTGATCACTTTGGATTTCAAATTCCAATACACAAATTTTTATATTAAAGTTACCTATTGTTAACCATTTTCTGTGGATCAATTTCTAGGAATGTGATTACTGGGTCAAAGGGTATTATGCAGATCTTTACGGCTCTTGATGCATCTTGCTGAATAGCTGTATATAATGTCCACACAGATATACAAAGTCACCAGGTACTCTAAAATTTTCCAACAATCTTACCACTAAATATTTTTTAGGCTTTGCATAATAAGTATATAACAGGAACCTATTATTGCTTTAATTTTTATTTCTTTAAATCAGGGTATAACATTTTCACATGTTTAAGATTTTTATTTCCTTTTGTGGGATTTGTGTTTAGAGCAAATTGACCTACATTTACCAGCGTAGGTCAATATGTTTCCTAACATATTTCAGTATGTTACATATATTTTTTTTGTCATAATCTGTTGCAAAAATATATTTAGTGTTTGCTTTCTTTTGCAATCCCAGCTTAAAATCATACCAAAAATTTAAAATTTTTTGTTAATTAATAACACATCTATTTTTTCTTCTGGAATTTCTTCCAGGTTTTAGTCTTAAGAAATTCGTCCTTTCAACCATTGGGATCAATGTTCTACTCTGTTGTCCATTCATTTTTTACTTATTCACCTTTCAACAAATGTCTCTCCTATGTGCCCTGCTTGGCACCAGGGATGAAAAAGGATAAATGATATATACATGCAAATTAGCCAAAACTCGGAAATAGGCAAAAAGGGTTCCTGCACGTCCTACTAATGTCATGGCAGGAATTGTCCAGCTGCTCTTCCCTTGCCCCAATCCCATTAACTGATTCTCTAGGGACATGTATCTTTATTTGACATACTCTTTACTATTTATGAGGATAGCTTACAACTCCATTAGTGTGGATGCTAACTGATCAAAATCTGAAAATGATTCAAATAACTTTTGACTGACAGAGATGCAAATTATTGATCCCCTAGAGAAGAGAACCTCATAGGTTATAGTTTTATTGCCCTGCAGGACACTAAGTAGTTTTGCATCTAACTTAGCAATCTTAATCAAGCATTTTCTTTTTCAGTCACTACAAATACTTTGCTCTTTCACAATTCTCTTCGAGTCAGTCTTGCCATCTTGTAGAGTTCCTCATTACTAAATTTAATAAAGCTTTGACACATGCTCACTTTCTGTTTGTAGGAGAGTCAGGAAATTTGGCTTCTAGCATCAGCTGTGCCACTTTCACCCATGTGACAGTTCACTTCAACTCCTCCTTGACTTCTAGCTTCCTTTCTTTGTAAATAATAGGCTTCTGTAAGGTCAAATGGTATTCAGGAAATGCAAGCGGTCAGAAAACTGTGTTTCTATATTCAGCTTCAAATGCTGAATCAGAATGAATGATCAGGTTCTAAGCCCAAGGCCCAACATCCCCCAGGCCTGAGGGAGTGGGGAGTGAGAAGCCCATCCCAGTGTCCTGTGGGATATTTCACCAGCAGAACTAGCTCTGAGGAGCAAGGACCAACCAGGAACAAGGGGAATGTGTTGCAATGGGAAGAACAAGAGTCTCCAGTTAGATGGACCCGTCTTCAGCCCTCAGCCCTGCCTCTTCTAGCCTCCCTTGAGCCTCTTTCCTCATCTGCAAACTAAAGTGGGTGTGGAGAGTCAATGAGCCAACATGTGCAAAGAGTCTTGCTCATGCTGGTCACATACTAAGGCCTTTTAGGACATTTAAGAAATGTCCGTTCTCTTCCTTCCTACTAAATCCAACATTGTCACCTGGAATCAATACGGAATCTATACTCTAGGGATGAGTCAGGGTCACTCTCGATATTCGATATTTGCAATCAAATATCAGTTGAAGCAGAGGGACTCAATAGGAAAAAAAATCTGTGGCACTGGGTTGAAATTTCAGAGGTGTGTTAGCAAGATAATGGTTTTAACTGGCCCCACATCTATCTCCAAGTGGCTTGTAGGCATTTCTCTCTGGGAATTCAGACTCAAGGCCAAACAGCTTTGGAATCTGCGGCAACAGGCTACTCCTGAGTGAGTAAACCAGTGGCTTCCAACAGACCGAGCACGGCAATCAGCAATCGCACTGCCTGCCCAGCTCCCTTACCTCTCCTACCACCTCTATGATGTCACCAACTTTCAGCTCAAGTTCGTCGTCGTTCTGAGGCAGGTAGCTGAATGCCACCTGGCATCGGCGCCTCCGTCGCTCACCTGGATGGGAAAAGCAAAATATTTAGATACAGCTCTTCTCCCAAAATAAGATTTTAAAGAGAGGCTTCCTAGGCATGCAGGCAAATTAAGCTGAGTTGTCTCAAATATGCTCTCTGGGAAATGGCTAGAGGCACGGCAGCCCTGGTCTCATAGGGAGAGGCAGTAGAAAGCAGAGCAATGCTTCTTGGTCTTTTAAAAGCTGCTGGGTCAGGAAGGCATGAATATGAGAAACAGATCCATTTGTGCAGAAGGCGAAACCCCACCCCTGAAGCACTGGAGCACAGTGTTGCCTTAAACGGTTTTCTATGGATGGGGCTTGGTAGTTGCTGCCGTTGATTTTTAATGAAAGCTGATAGGATGTGGTAGAGAGGAGGGAATGGTCTGCTTCTAATGCCAGCAAGGCAGAGGGAATTTTCCCCAAATGTGCAAAGGAAAAGATAAAGTATCCTGGCCTTCTCATTACTAATCATCACCTTTTCAATATGCTGGAACTCAGGCCTGATAAGTAAAGGCCAATTAGATTTCAGCCTTCTCTTGGTACCATTTCAAAGGCCCCACAGCAATTCAACAAATCTACTCTGTCCTTGTCCCTCTGTCCCATGGGATTCATTAAAAGCCCTTACTGCTTACACAGGACCAAGCCAGGCAAATCACAATAAAAGGCAGGACCACACTTCACTCAACCAGAGGACACTCAAGGTGACACCACTGTGCTCAACGAATGTGTTCCAAGTGGGAGCCCCTGGCTTAGACCTAGTTTAAATCCAGACACAACTACCCACAGCACATCCACACCACAGATGTGCACTGTAGGAAGGAAGAACATTCGTGTGTGTGTGAGAGAGAGACAGAGACAGACAGACAGAGACAGAGACAGACGGAGCAGTGGAAGCCCAAGCCAGAGAGAGGTGGATGGGAGATAGGAAGTGAGACCAACACCGCTCAGAAGTTTGTTGCTCACAGCTGACCACTTCATGCCGCTCCCTCATGCCACCACATGGCCTGGAAAACCAAAGGCAACAACTTAAAAGAAACACATTTAGAAATGTTGAATTATTTTTGGATACTGTCGACAGGAACTCTTTTTCTCCTTCAATCTTTTCTCCAAGAAAGGAAGCCCCTGTGGATGTGATCACAGGCCGCATTGAGGTCTCCAAACAGCATGACATCATACAAAGGAGAAGGTCTCTTTGCTGAATCCAATATGCTCACTGATCAATGTTTTTCAAAAGCCAGTGGCCTAGTTCTCTGCGTTCCACTTTTCTTTGCCCATACATCACTTCTAAGGAAGAAAAGAGTTGGGCAGAAGCTCAGGATTGACACCTCGTCTAATCACATCTCTGGTGACTATACAAATATATCCCACCCCTTTGTACAAAATCACAAGTTGCCTGGTCTTAAGAAGAACAAACATGTAAAGTTCACGCAAAGTCCCAGGTGCTAAGACCACTGTCAACAGGCAGAGGGATACAAGCCTAAGTAGAGACAGAGGGCCTAGCCCAAGTTGCTTGTCCAAGGTGGGACGTCAGTAAGAGCAGGACTCCAGTGCAAAGAACTCCATCCCATCCCATGGCTTCCGATGAGCTGTAAGTCAAACCAAGGCCTCTGCATCATAAAGGCAACAGATTTCTCATTATAACAAAGAAAATCTAGATGACGAGACAATCTTGGCTTGTCTCTCCCACTCCCCTGCAACTTGTCTGCCTCCACAGGCAGCCCGTAAGATGAAGTTCTACTACAAATGTTTAAGAGCATTCATTTGCTAGATGCTATGTTAGAAAGTGAAGTCTACAGATACAGATCTGAACAACATGAAATAATAGAATGAATCAATGTCTAAAAACTGACACAACCATAGAAGTCACTAAAGTCCTGACCAAAGTGACTTAAAATACCATCTGAAGATATAGTGTTAGCTGAAGCCAAACAATTGATACCATACCATGAGTTGCCATGGAGTTGACCCTGACTCCTGGCACCCCCCTGTGTGTATGTGAGAAAACTGGGGTCCATAGGGTTTTCAACAGCTGAGTTTGGGGAAGCAGACTGCCAGACCTCTCTTCCAAGGTGCCACCTCTGGGTGGACTTGAACCACCAACCTTCTGGTGAGCAGCTGAGCACATTAACCATCGAGGAATGGAACTACAACAACAAAAACCTTACGGTTATGTTTAGTGTTTATTTTCCTAAGATCCTGAGTAGAAAGTACTACCTAGACTAACACTGCACAAATAGCAAAAGAAAAAGTGATACATTCTCAGAGAAAAGACTAGCCCAGCAGATTGAGAACCTGGAACAGAATACACAGACTCGAACTTTTATAAAGTCTGCCCGGGAGCAGGAGGAATGACACAGTCATGACTTCCTCCTGGTCAGCCTTGTCGGTATTTCTGAAAATATTGACATTTGTATGGAATATAATATAGAAAATTATATTCTATAAAGATGCTGTCAACATAAAGCACCAAGAAAAGTCAAGCCTCCAAAGGGCACAAAGGAGATACCCAGAGGTTGCTGGTGGACAGCGTGCCCTGACTGGACTTCAAGCAGAAACAGTTATTCCCCTTCTCACACTGGGATAGCTCAGGACCGCTTCTAAAGCACTTCTGATATCCACTACTCTGTGTCATCCTGCAAGGAGCTCTGGTGGCACAGTAGTTTAAGCATTTGGCAGCTAACCAAAAGGTTGATGGTTAGATCCCACCAGCTTCTCTGCAGAAGAAAGCTGTAGCACTAAAGACTCAGTAGTAAACATCAGTGTCTACTAATGAGTCTTCTTCCATCAAGATCACCCTTGGAAACCCTGTGGGACAGTTCCCCTCTGTCCTACAGGGTTGCTCTGAGTTGGAATCGACTCAATGGTGGTGGGTTTGGTTGCTTTAGGGAGCTCATCCTGCCAGCCACACTAGTTAAACAGAAAAAGAAAAGAGCCAGAAGGAGCAACCATTTTGCAAATGAGGAAACTGAAGCTTGGTGACTCACCTAGGGTCAGAAAGTTAGTAAGTGGAGGTACCTGCTTGACCTAAGTTCAGAGCTCTCTTCCAAAGCTGGGTGAACCAATTCAATCTACAGCTTATCTCAAATTCTCTGCTATCTGTACTTAACTGCCTCCTGATACACTGCCGAGTCACAACCTTCGCACTACACCGTGCCTCTCTCATTACGAGGAGCTCCCGATATCCTGGACTGCTGCTTTCCCAGGCCTCAATTTCTACCTATCATTGATTTCTTTCTTTCTTTTTGTTAGTTCTACTTAAGCTATAACCCAGTTCAATATTCAGAGTTGGAAGAAATATTTCAGTCGCCTGTACATCTAAGTTTCAGGAAATTTAAGGATATCATTGGCCATTTTTTTTTTCTCTCTCTCCTGGCATTTCACTGCTGCTTACTAGTGAGTCTTAACCTTCCTTAAGGAGGCAGGTAGGTGACAATGTAATCTCCTTACAATAGCTAGTGTAAACTAGAGAAAGAAGCTATGACTTGCCCAGGGCCTATGGTGTAGAATCCCTTGCTTAGAGCTACTACCTTCATGCTGAGAGCCCAGTGCATAGGAACTCAAGTTTTAACACATTTTATTGGCCTTTCTGCCTATTAAATAAACTGGGTCTTGAAATAAAATTTTCTTGAAAAAGTCCAATGCCTACCAACAGGTGAATGGAAAAACAAAATGCAGTTTATACACACAGTGGAATACCACTCTGCCATAAAGAGAAATGAAGTCCTGATACATACTACAACAGGCATGGACTTTGAAAACATTTTGCTGAGTTAAGTAAGTCAATCACAAAAAGATAAATATTATATGACTTCACTAATATGAAACACTTAGAACAGACAAATGTATAAACATCAGAGATGAACAGTGGTGACCAGGGGTAGGAGGGAAGGGGAAAGGGGAAAGCTCTGTTTAGCTAGCATTGAGTTTCTGTTTACAGGGATGGCAGATAACAGCAATGGATGTTGCCCAACATGATTGATGTAATTGGCTCCACTGAATTGTACAAGCAAAAAAAGTTGAATTGGCAAATGTTGTGCTACCTATATTTTTACAATTAAAAAAACTTAAAAAAATTAAATATATGTGTTGATAATATCCAATAATATAAATCTGTATTAGAACAGCTACAAAGAGGAGAGAAACAGACGCTTTCCTCAGTCATGTCAGTACCACTCCACTGCCCCCATCCTTTATCATGGCTTACATCGCAGGACAACTAATCTCCTTACATGTAACTGAGGGAGGGATAACCAAAATCAAACCCACTGCCGGTGAGTGGATTCCAACTCAAAGCAACCCCCGTTGGTTTCCGAGGCAGTAAACCTTCATGGTAGTAGATTTCCCAGTCTTGCTTCTGCGGAGTGGCTGGTGGGTTTGAACCACCAACCTTCTGATTAGCAGTCAGATGCTTAGGCATTGTGCTACCAGATCTCCTTAAATGAGGTATAAATAAACACAAATTTTATCTACATACATGCAAACGTGTATGAACACAAGTCTTACCAAAAGGGAATGACTAAAGTAGATTTCACAGGCATACTTGAGACATCTCTAGTTTACTGCCATACTGTATGACAGCCATGAAACATATATGTGCAAGCATGTATTCATATGTATGACACAGGCACACACACAAGGCAACCACACCCTCAACTCTCTCGCTAGACCCTATAAACGACCTTGCATTCATGACCACTTTTGTTTAATAAAATAATGTTGTTGTTGTTGTTATGTGCCGTCAGGTCGGATCCAACTCATAGCGACCCCTCCTTGGGTTTCCGAGGCAGTATCACCACGGAAGTAGATTGCCCCATCTTCCTTCCGAGGAGTGGCTGGTGCGTTTGAACTGCCAGCCATCTGGTTAGCAGTCAAGTGCCTTAGCCACTATGCTACCAGAGCTCCTAATAAAATAAAATAATAGCAGCTAAGATTTACTGAGCACTTACTATGTGCCTGAGACTACTAAGCACCTTACATTTATACATACATTGTACCTCTGGGA